ATTTTCGCTATTGCTTAAATAGCGCTATATACTGCGAGGATCGTTCATCATACGTAAATGTTTCTTATATTCTAGGTCCAAAGGCAAGACATAGCTTGTAGTATATGTCAAAAAGTTTGTACTTATTACTGAGTAGACAGTAACTTGTAGCCCCTCGTATGTTTGCCAAGAGAGAAACGTCTTACTTCGGACATTCTTGGTAAACTCTCCTGGCCTGTCCTTTGTGTTCTGCAACCAATCCCTGAGGTATCCCAAAAATGTACTTTCCAGCCATCGAAGTCTTCCTTTCCAATCGATCTCAAAGGCCTGGGAGTTGGTGGTTGTTTTTGAAAGCTCTTCTGCGTCATGCTCAGCAATGGAAGTGCTCCAAAACTCGGCCTTTTCTTTGTCATTCTCTCTGATACAGCTGAGAGATAAAGCTTAAGATATATGTTAACGTTTTTATCAAGAATTCAACAGAGTTACAGAGTCGATTTCGCATGTTTTGGCGGGCCGTATACAAATAAGCACACCGCTAAATCGCTAGAATTATACACACACACTTACTTATTTCGATGTCATTTTCATGAAAATGCTTTTCACAAGTAAATACTTTGTCATTTGCGATCTGTCGTTGGAAGTTACTGTCCGTAACTCTGTATTTCTTGAGCTCATGGAGCCAATCTTCGCGCCATTCGCGCCATTTGCGCAATCTTCGCGTCATTCGCGCCATTTGTTTCGTCCCGAGGAGCTGGAAGCTTCCATATTCCAATTCCCTTGGTTTTACGGCAAGTTCCACAGCCAACTACGGGACAGTTATCTCCAGGCATGTTTTTGGGTTAAAATCTATGCATTTTCAGTTAAGCAAATAGTAATAAAAATCAATTAAAGTCAAAAAATTTCTCTATCAACCATTCTCGAACAACGCTGCATTGTATTGTAATGCACGGTAGTCGTGACGTCACGCACCAAGAGGTTGAACAATAATAATAATAATAATGTGAAGGTGTAGTCTGATCGTCCGGGTGAGTGTAGTCCTGAGAAGGACTGTTGTCGGTGGCAGTGACTGACGTTTCGACAACCTGTGCGGAAGTC